GCTGAGGCCGCCAGAGAGCGGGAGCCTTCGGGCGGTGCGGGGACCTGCGGGCGGTGCGGGGACCTGCCGGAGAGCGGGAGCCTGCGGGCGGTGCGGGGCTACAGGAGACCCTGCCTGGAGCGTTTGTGCGCAGGATGAGGGAAAGGCTGTTGGACTCTGTTCTTCCAAAAACACGTGGCCCTGAGAAACGTCCCACCTCCAGAGTTCCTCTCTGGGGTGCCGCAGATTCTGGCGGGAGAGGAGGCTGCTTCGCCTTTGGCTTCTTCTGGAAACAAAAATCTCCTCTCCCTCCCCACAGTTGTGTGGCAGCTCCGTTTTGCTCGCGGGAGGCCGTGAGCAGCCACAGCAAACTTGACTTCCAGGTTTGAATGCTTTGCTTTCCTGCCTGGAGTTCAAAGTTCTGCAGGAAGTCAGAGGTTTGAAGTCCAGCAGCAGAGCTGGTTAAGCTGTTAACTCAGGTCGCGTCAGTTGCATCTCTTTATTTCTGGTTATAGTACTGTACTCAAAGCAACATATCTACCCTTTCTAACATGAAAAGCATTTCTGAGACACTTGTCTGGTGATGTACAAGACACAAAGAAACAAGAGTTTACACTAAATCATAGGAGTAACTTAGGCTGGAAAGGGCCTTAAGAGACCACCTGGCCCAGCCCTCTGCTTAAAGCAGGGCTGACCTCAAGGTTGCACTAAGTTGCCTGGGGCCACCTTCAGTCCAGACCTGAATTAGGAGCTCCTCCGTGTGAGTGCTCAGCTTCCCAAAAGGTGGATCAAGCGGTCAGTCAGACTGACGCTGTCTGTTAACTAACCTGCTGGGCTCTCTGTGGAGAAGGGAGCACATGCTAAAGACTGTTCTTTCCCAAATAGGCTAATTACAAGTAACCTGTGTGCACAGCTGAAAGCCTCAAGAGGAATTTGGCAGGATGAAGCCTGTCATTGTGGTGCATGGTGGAGCTGGCCGGATCTTTAAAGAACGAGAAGAGGGCAGCCGTGCTGGTGTTGTCAGAGCTGCACTGCAAGGTTATGGTGTCCTCAAACAGGGAGGCAGTGCTTTGGATGCAGTTGAGGAGGCAGTACGATCAATGGAGGATGATCCTCATTTTAATGCAGGTAACTTTTGAAACAAATGGGTTCGGAATCATCACATAATTAAAAAGTGTTCTGTCCTGGTGCTTCTGAAAATGCTGGCTTGCATTTTCTTGGAATTGTATACACTTCAGTGGAGCAAATATTGGTGTCACAATATAGTTTCTTTATCTGTACAATAAAAGAGCATAGTATGTACCATAGTTTTCTGTGAGTATACTTAGGCAGGTGTGTTAATTTTTTTCATTTTTCAGTGTTTTATACCTACTGTTTCGTTTTTGTACTTTTGTACTTGTTTACTTTTCTGTAAATCTTCTCCTGTTACTTAGCTGTGTATTCAGTTTTAAGACATTAACTCCTCCTTAATGAAACATACAGTTACTTAACATTTGTGTTTAAGGCACTTGAATATAGCTTGCAGCAATGTTTAAGCCTTAATGCTTGACCTTTACTGTTGCCAGAGGAATACTGTTCTCGGGGATTTTAGGTGTTTTTCTCTTAATTTTCTCTTAAAGCTTGCAGTCACTGCTTTTATTAATAATAATAGAGAAATAATGCAGTAATGGTATATGAGTCATGAATTTATACAGTAGAGTTTGTAACTGGATTTCCTAGCGATTAATGTTAATTAATTTTAATGTCAATAGGAAAATATTTTTCTTCTCTTTGTATGACCTCAAATTTATAATTTGGATGAATTTCAGTGAAAATATTTCCCTACCCCCACCAAGGTATGTCAGGAATGAACATGGAAAGAAAGACATGTCAGTGTTCAGTCAGTATTTTAGATAAGATAGCTATTAGTTATGTGCACACATAGTTTGCAGAGATTCTCTTGTTGCTTCTCACCTTGTAATTAAAAGTGAGGGAGAGCTTTTACTTCATTGGAAGCTTTCAGTGTTTTGTTACTGACTTGGATTGAACATCTTGATTTTTAGAGGATTCAAGCTGAAATCATGAAGCAGACTTACAGGGGTGGTGTGTACTACTATACACTTAACATCAGGGTGGCATTCTCTATTTACTTTTCTTCACTGGTTCTCTAAATCATTCACTAGTCATTCACTTGGCTTTGCTGGCATCAGTAAGTATCTATTTGGCCTTTGGCTCTCTGTGCTTCTGGGTTGTATCTCAAAATACCACTCTTCTGAGGGAACTTAGATTTGGTATTTTAAAAATGCCACCTACTTCAGGGCAGGAAAAAATCCTAATTCTTGAGAAGCATCTTGTCAGTGATGTCCTGCCTGACATTAGGTGTCCAATGTTCATGTGGAAGCTACTTCAATATAAATTTAAGCTTAAAGATTCTTTACATGTCTTTCTTCATCATTCCACAGAAACAGTTGCATACTGTCTTTGTTTCTTATACACTAGTTTTGAGGTTTCAAAAATCAGCTTTATTTGGACAGGAGATACATTTTAGCTCAGTGTGACTCTCGGTGATGATAGCTTACTTCATAATGATCTGTTTAAGTGCAGTTTTTTAACTTGTACACAACTGTCTGAAGCATTTGGGCACTTATCCTGGGAAAGATCACAATAACTAGCAATATTCTGTGTTTGCATACAAGTTGTTTTTTTACCTTCTCTGTGGGATCTTGTCACTGACGCTGCTTTTCCTGAGCCAGGCTCTCTGGTAGCAGGCCATCGTTGGGCCAACACCTGTGAGTAGGGTACATTCCTCTAAAAACTATTGCATCCTCTGAGGATAGGACCTCAGACTCTACCATATACAATTACTTATATGCAGTAATAACTTAACATTTTGCTTAACCTACAAAGTGCAGTTGTTTGTGACACGCTTTTTCACGGTCTGAGATCGCATCCTTAATTTAATGTGTGTTGAATTCTTTTTGTCTCTAAAGGTGTTTACTTGTTTTTCTAACAGTATTTATACCTTGTTTGTATTATATTAGAAGAGCAATTTTTAGCAAAATTTACTTTAAATTTACTTGAGCATTAAACCCTGCTTCAAGTTTGACTATGCTGATCTAAATGGCAAGTACGCTAGCAGTCATGGATACAACTAATTGTGTTAACAGTCATTAGATACAGCTGCCCTCAGTAGCTGGTGAAAATGAACTGAAAGCTATGAGAAGAGGGCCCTGATTGGAGTGGCTGTTTAAAACTCACCCTGTGGTATTTATCTTTGTAAAAGAAAAATCAGTTTTACTTTAGTATTTTGTAGGAAAACACAGACATTGCTAGGAGACAACAATAAAGACTGGGGAGAAAGGGCATAACCGTCAAGTTATTTCCTTTTTTGAATGATAGGGTTTAGCCATGCTATGTGGATGCATCTACATGTAGGCTTTGTGGAGGGGCTTAGAAGCTATACGGTTGTCAAAAACTGCTATTTTTGTGTCTTGTGCAGCATAATGAGATTACAGAGTTCTGCTTCTGATAAGGAAGTGGCCTTGGTTGTATTTCCTTCATGCCATTTCTTTGACTAGCAATATTTACTAGCTTGGTGGGAATGCTCAAGGTACAAGAACGGTCATTATGGTGATCCTTGCATGCTCTTTCCTGCTTAGCCTTTGCAGGACAGAGGACATACCCAGCTATATGTTTATAGAGGGTGTGGGGAGCAGTCCATCTTCTCTCCTCCCACAAAATGCCTTTCAACAGAGGAATGTCACGGAAGCATCCTGGCCTCTGGTGATCCGTTGCCAACACCGTCGGACCGTGACTTAGGGAATTGGAGTGCTCCTCTCAGTACCCATGCTGTGATTTGGCCAATGTCAGACATGTTCATTCTTTGTTGTCCCCATAGATTTCCTCCCTATTGTTGTCCTGGTTTTCCCCCTGGCCTTTGCTTCACAAGTGAGCCAGACTCCTGTTTTTGCAGTGCTGCTGCCAATGGATGCCATGGCCTCAGAGGCAGATAGTCCCTAGAAAAGACAGTCTGTTACCATGGAAGTTGGGATTCATCCTACCTCAGATGACCTGAAGTTTAGTATCTAGCCTTGCCATGGTTTACAGGCTTTCACGGTGATGAATGGAATGGGAAAGGGTAGCTATGCAGCTAAGGCAAGTGGAATGAATTGTTCCTAGAGTGCACCTGTCTTTCTTCACTGTTTTAGCTCTGTAAAATGATCAAGCTACTGTGTAAATCTACCATGTTTTGGCTTGGTTTGGTTTTGGTTTTTTAATTTCTCTTTAGGTTTAGTCTTCTCCATCCTTATTAGCACTTCTTGTGCATTTGATGACTTACAACTGATTATTCCCCTGTGAGGCAGTTATTTTTTAAAAAACTCCTATTTGCATTGTCTCATTTTGTATCTCATTAACTTTCAATTAGGTTAGTGATAGCACTAATAATTACAGAAGAAAGTAACTACCCAGGGTTTTAAAACTTTTTTTTTTTTATTCCTACCTCTACTGTTTTTATTTGGTAATAAAGAACTTGTTATTTCAAGCTTTTGTTACAGTAGTGAGAGGACACTTCTGCTCTGTTGATTTTGGCAGTTTCTTGGAATACTATGTGATGTTAATCTGTTGATAGGATGTATTATTTTTTTGGGTTATGGAAGAGCTGTAAAGGTAAAATAGCTTTAAGTGCACTTGAAGTGATCTGGGAGATAAAGAATTCTGTTCATGACTATTTGTTGTTTTAACTTTCATACCTAGTGTATCATTTTGGATGGGATTGGAAGTGTGCTTTTCATCTTATAAAAATAAAACTCAGTAGACATTGTACCCTGTAAGACTTCTGTTAATGGTTTGATTTTTGTGGTTATACTCAGCAGTGTTTCTGCTGTTTTGTTTGTGTTCAGGAGACACTTTCAGTAAGATGGACAACAAACTGGGAAAGAGAATGTTTGCTTGATGAGACCTAATAATTGAATCACCTGATAGTTAGCTCTTAATGACTTTCTTCTTTTTCCCTTCCTCCCTTATTTTTTTTTGTTTGTTTGTTTTATTTTTTTGGTCTTTAGGCTGTGGATCTGTTCTAAATGAAAAAGGTGAAGTAGAAATGGATGCCATTATCATGGATGGAAAAAATTTAGACTCTGGAGCAGTATCTGCAGTTAAATGTATAGCAAATCCAATAAAACTTGCTCGACTTGTCATGGAAAAGGTATGCTCAATATTTACTTGAACATGAAGCATTTTTTCCCCTTAGAACTTCATCTGGTGTATTGATATACCTCAGTGATATTTTTATAGTGCTTTAAAGCATAAAAGAAGGGATAAGTAGAAGGTAGTTTTGAAACTATGGTCATGTCCATGAAGGAGTTCTATTTTAAGTGGTTTGGGGAGGTATTTATTAAAAATAGCATTCAAAAGAAATATTAAGTTCTGCCATGCAGCTGGAAGCTCAAGGAGAAATTGACCTGTACAGGCCAGTCTTCTGTATCTCCATGTCTGGTGTTCAATATTTTAGGGGTTTTTTGTTCATTTATTTTTTGAAGAGGTTTTACACTGTCACTGAGTCTTCTGCTTGATCTTTCAAGATTCAAGTTGATTAATGTACTGTTGACTTGCAAGGACAGGACATTGAATTAAATGACCCAATAACATATTTGGCCATGTAATGCAGTCTTTTGTTGTTCCAGGTGACCTTCTTGATTGTGATCTAATCAGAGTGGTAGCCCTAGTGCAAAGTTGTGGTCTTCCAGCAGTAGAAGATAACATTAGCACTATGAGGTGGTGACAGATTTTCCAAAGGGATCAAACTTATCAGGGCAGCAAAATGATTGTTACTTGACCTGCTATGTAAAATCAATCCCTCCTTACTCCACTAAGAAGTTCCTCTGATATCAGCCTCAGCAGCCTTGTTTTTCAGAAATGGTGCAACTGATAAGGTTTGGGATAAAGTAGGTCAGTTGTGTGATGTGTGCACCTGTATGACCATTACTAGACTATGACAGCGATGAAAATGTTTACGTTTTTCATCCTGCTACTGCAGCTTCCCCTTTGTTGAAAAGGGTTCGTATTTGCAAAAACATTTATTAACTAAGATGTTTTATGTTTCTTTAACCTTTGAAAGTGACTTTTGAGGAAACAAAACCTCTTTTGGTGATTACTATAAAGATGATTGAAATGTAATTTGTCCTCAGTAACCTCCAAAGAAGATGGGAATTGTTTTGGCCTAATTGGAGAATAGTTCTACTTTTAAAACCAGAACTTTTCACTGAAGTATTTAATATACTTTTTAAAATGTGCATCTGCTAGAAATCAATGTCAAAACTTGAGTGAGCTTTTTGTTTCTTCACACGGGATTTATTCTGTTATTTAGCTAGAACAAACAAATAAGTATAGTTGGTTGACAGCTTCATAAGACCACATTTTTTCAAAATTTGTGAATATTAGGCAGAGGGCTAGGGCAGAGACATCTAGCATATTGAGGGGAATTTTGGTTAGGGTTTTTTTTCTGTAGGTAGCTTCTATTAATGCCCATTGTTTGGTCATAATCCAAAATCACTGATTTCTTGTTCTCCATTTCACTGTACTCCATTTAAGACAAGAAGAATGAAGTCACACCAATGCTTCTGAGAACCTAACTTTCCAAAGTGATTTTTGTTTTATTTTTTTGTTTGTTTTGTTTTTTAAAAAAACCAACAACCTCCTTTGCGCTTTTCATTTACTATGAGGTCTTTCTTGTCATTTTGTGGTGCTTCTGGTGTTCAAAAATGCTGAGGCTAGATTTGGAAGGAAATAATAAAATTCAGTTATATAGGAGCAAGGATAATGGTAGAGCCCTAAAACCATTAAATTTTGTGGTAAAGTGTATTACTCTTTCCCCAGATGCAAAAAATTTTATGTAGATAACAGAGTCCAAATGTAAATGTTGGCCTAGATTGCTTGATGTATCTTGAGGTGAGTTTGCTCCTTCTCTGTCAGGTATTGTAGTTAAGAATATCCTGATGTTATTCTTCTGTTCATCTCTGACACAAATTTTGGGAGAGCAACCCAGGCTATTTCACAGTACTTTTCAAAGTGTATGTTGTTTTGCTTTACTGTGCATAATTAAAAATATTTTGAACTCTGTGGTCCATGGGTAATAAGAGTTTAGTTTTCCTGGGGTCCTAAGCATGTTAGAATGCTCTTACTACCTTAAGGGATTTTAAATCATGGGGCTCCCAAAACCAACCAACCAAAAAAACCCTCCTTTCCTGCTTGTCATGTTATGTTTTTCCATTCCTATTATGGAGCTATGTGGGCTCCATCTGGTGGCCAGAGTAGCTTTGCTAGATTGTTTTTGGACATATTTTTGTGCCATTTTATCCTGTGTGCTGCTACATTCTTACTGGAGTCCAACTTGTACAAATTCATAGGCTACATAAAGAAGGGTGCAAGAATATTTTCCATCCATGATTTACTATGCTATTGATCTCAGCAGCCTCTCAAGATGGAAGACTTTTAGTATTTCAAGTAATTAATTCAACAAATCCTTGAAAAAGCAGTTAAATTCCTGTTGAATTATTCCTGTTTGTAGTGAACAAAAACAGAAGTATACTTTGAAATGGTTGTGTTTTTTTAATGGGTCATGTAATCCTCCTCAGCTCCAACACTTTATTAGATGGACATCTTGTGAAAATCACAGTGCTGATTCATTGGTATACATGAACTGTGTATATGTTTTCCCTACTTTGTCATCTAACTCTTTACATTAGATAAAGGAGAATTTAGCTTAGTACATAGATGTCTCAAGGCAAAGGTGCAAACTTTTGCTGTGCTCTGTGCACTGCCAGGATTATTAAATAAAGAACAATGATGGTCCGAATTCAGGCTAGATGCAGAAATTTGGGGGATTTTCTTTTTCCCGTTTACCATGAAATTAACTAAACTTGCGAACAGTTGTTTGTTCATAAGATCTCTGGAACTCTTGTGTCCTTTGGAATTACTTTGTATGAATGTGTCCTGGAAAAATGAGGCATATTAGAAAGTTAGCAAACATATTCATGACACTGTATAGGAAAGATGAAACAGTAAAATGTACTTTTGGATTGTTTGGCAATGTTCTACCAGTTATAGAAGATACATTGAAAAGCAGGTTCTCCTTACATTCATACATTCTGTGAGGACTGCAAAAAAAAATCCAAACCCTTCAAAACCTATCATGGAAGGTTATCCCTGTATATATGCAAGTATTTGTTGTTTGTGCAGCTCAGGGAAGTGCATATGTTATTGCAATCAGCATATGGGAGGGAACCCTTTGAAAAAGTTTTAGAAAATAGCTTCCATTTTTTAGAATAATTTCTTTACTTATTTAAAAGATTATACACAGTCTTAATTGCTGACGAAAGCAAGTGATGGACACAGCCGCCTGATTACAGATAAAGTCAAGAGAGACATTCATTGTATTACCTAAAAATATTAACAAAAAGTCAGCAAAAAAACCTCACCCAAACCACATTTTAATTGTGATTGTGTGCTTCTGGTGGTTTAGTGTCAGTGGCAGAGGGGGGCAGTGTTGCACAAAGAAGTTACCTTGCAAGTCAGAAGAGCACTATAGCTTTGTTAGAAAAAGGTAGATCTTCTGTTGTCTGGTAACATCACTCACCATGTAAGCCTATTGTCCACTCTTCCATATATAAAGAGGACTTCTTCCTTGTAACCCTTACTCTTGTTCCCTAAAGCAATACTCCAATGCATTGTTAACTTGTCAATAAAAGGACATTTAAATTTTCAACAGTGTTTGATGTCAGGGTCAGCACGTGAATGGCTGTTCAGCAATGTTTCTGGGGTGTGATCACATTTCCTGCTTGTGTAAGCAGCTGAAGGGATTAGTGCAGAGGCTGAAATAAGCTGAAGCAGACCTAAGTGTCTGTGGCTTGGAAAGAGGTTCAGCTCAAGTCCTTCAAAACAATTCAGTGTTACGGGTTGGTCATGGTAGGGATTGATTGTCCTTGCTGTAGAAATCAATAGAAGTTGATGGTATGCAACATCTTAAAAGTCTGAAGCTTTGAGGCTGTAAATATCCTGCAGAATGCAGCATGAATGCCCAGCTTCTGGCATCCTCACTTCAGGCTGAGAGCAGAATATGTGCCATGACAGTCTCCCACTTGGCTCTGCAGGCCTGCTGCCTACAGCATCACATGGTTCTGCTTTTTGCACCTCTACCTTTTGGTACTTGTGTGCTGTGGTGATGCATGCAAATAAAAGCTTTAAGTCAGCTCCTATGCTCTGAAATTACCCTCTGTGGTATAGTCAGACCAGTGCTCCTCCAAAATCTTCCTGGGCTCTGAGGAACAATTAGCAGCTGTGTAGTGGTTCAAGAAGTTGATGCTTATTTTTGGACCTAGATGGAAAAAAAAAGTAAATCTACTTTTAGAGCTTCTACTAAAGTATAAGGATTAATGAAACACTTATCTAACAAGGTTCTCTAAAATAGAAATTAACCAAGCTTTATACACTTTGAAGTATGAAATTAATTGAGGTCATTGACTTAAAATACAGTGTTTTGCTAAATAAAGAAATCAAAGTAGAGCTGCTGCAAATATTGTTAGAAGACAGCATTTTTTTTTTGTCATACCTGTGAGAACATTATTCTGTTCTTAAATTTGAAAATCTGGGTCTATTAGCAGTAGCAGCTAGTGAAGGAAGTATTTAAAATAAAATGGTTTAGCTGATGTTAAGAAAAGCTTTAGTGTATGATATTTACATTTTTGTGTTATTTTACGCTTACAAAGTGCAATACCTTCAAACAGAAGAGGTTTTATTTACTGTTATTTCATTCTGAGTAAAATCCTTCTAGATTTCTTAGTTAACTGGTAAAAAAATAGTTAAGTAGTGATTCAGTGGCTGACTCGAAACAGTACTAAGGAGTTGCATGCAAAAGAGCAAATTTACCTGTTTTTCTTTTCCTATTATAATAAGTATTAAATATATAAATGCAATTATTTTCTAATAATGAGATGTTGTGATTTGGAGAGCTGAAATTTTTTTTCAGCTAGTGGAAGAGGATATAGGCAGGGATTCTAGAAAGTTTAAAAATAAAACAAAATTTGGAGTTTTCTTTATGTGGACGTTTCTAAAAAGAATGATTATGAAAACTGCTAAGTACAAGACAAAACAAGGATTGTCAGTGAATCTCTTGTCTGTCTTCTGCAGACGAAGCACATGCTGCTGACTGACTCTGGTGCACACCTGTTTGCTCAGGCCATGGGTATTCCTGAGATTCCAGGGGAGAAACTCATAACTCAGAGATCCCAGGAGAGATGGAAGAAGAACCTTGAGCCAGATTCCAACCCTGAAGAGTTTCAGAAGTAAGGGTTTTGTAAAATACTTTTTTCTTTTTGATTCAGGTAATTTAGTTTGTGCTATCAGTGTAAAAAAACCCGAAGATTTAAGGCCTGTATTCAGACTTGAGAATACTTCAGTTCTGAGTGTTACATGGTTTGATAGTCTTCACAGTATGTCCTCAGTGCACGTAATGAAAACTCAAGCTTTCAATAAATTTGCTGAAGTGTAAATGACTAGAACAAATTTGAACAAACTTGTTGATGCTTAAGAAGATTGCTGGTCTCTTTGACATAACAATGGTTTTGTGGCATTAATGGAGGACAAAGTTAGAACTTACGTCTGTTAAAATAATCGGTTACAGAAGTGCATAGATCAGCTTTAACAAACAGCAGGCATCACTTTGTAGTTCATTTCCACAGAAGCATTGTGATTTTAAAAAAAAATTTCACATTTTAAAACAAGTCCATGAAAAAAACCCCACCTGATTTTGGTTAAGTACATGATCAGATTTGTCTTTAAATTGGATTAGGTACTTAAATGACGTGAGATTTTGATCAGTAGCTCCTTCTAAGTGCTGACTGTGGCTGTGGATTACTGTCAATAGGAATGAAAAAAACTGACCAAGAAGTTCAGTGTAGTGGTGGGTGTGAAAAGAGATGCTACTGGATGATTTTGCACAACAGCAAAATAAAATTAACTTGAAAATAAGCAAGTCTCACAGAAAGTAGAAAAAAAGGTGAGGTGGATGGGAAAGGAAGGAAAATCATGAGGTGTCAAAAATAGGTTTTTTATGCCTGTGAGGTAGGCATAAATACTAAATTGTTTTGAGCTTCTGTTTTTACTTTAATGGTTGTGACATAGCAAAACATTGTATTATAATGCATAGGAATTGTATTGCAAGTTGTTCATCTGTTCTGTGAAACAGTAGTAATGAGAGAAGCAGAGCTGAAAATTTGCAGATCAAAAGGAGGAAATTTCTTCTGTGGGCACATTAATTAAAGTCAATGAAATGAGGCTATAAACTACAAGCTGTATATAACTTTCAGTAAATTGCTAGAAGGAAAAACAACAAGACAAGTGTAAATACAGTCTTGTAAAAAAAGTGAAGTTGTTCCTTGACTGTAAGGTATCACTTGTAGTTCATCTTGTATCCAACAAGTTTTATTTTCTTCTATGGTCTATCCAAGGATTGTGTGGTAGTATAATTCGATACGAAAAGATAGCATAGCCCCTACTGCCGCTTGGTCTCCTGAACATTTGAGGTGGAGTGGCATGGCATCTGAGTCTCCATTCATGCTTTATAACTGCTTAATTAAGTTATTTTTTCTTATAATAGTATTAGGTATCTCCAATTTCAGCATTCTCTTGTTCTGGAATGTCTGATATAACAGAAGGCTTATATATTTCTGAAGAGCTTGAGACTTCTAGCCATGCAGTTCTTTCTTTTACAACTAGTGCCCAAAACATTAAGCATAAATTCACAAAGTTGAAAACAGGTCTGTTTTGATTCAAGCCCGTTTCTTTCAGTATCACATGTGGAATGTCCTTTTTCCCTGCTATGTCCACAGTGATTATGTAGAAACTTGCCTGAGGTGAACAGGCAGAAAGTGAAATAGTGTTAGTCAGAGGCAGCATAATGCCAGATCGTACTGGGAATCAGAAGGTTGGAGTGTATTTTACTTCCAGTCTGCCGGTCCTGACAACATTGGAAACCTTGGAGTTTCACAGCTTCCAAGTAAAGTTTAGTGTCTCCAGAAGGGAGAACTTTTTCTTCTGCTGGTTAGAAGCTTGCATTCTTTTATGTTAAAAGCCTACCATCCCATTGCACGTACAACATGGCATCTTGTACACCTTTTACAGAGAATAAGGTATGGTTTGATTTTAGTCCCTCACTCCAAGGAGTCTGACCATACTCTTGACAATGATTGCTGGAGATTGCCTGTAAACCCCACAGAAAGGGGGTTGAGTCTGGCCATAAGATAGTAGATGGGATACTAGTCCCACTGAATCACAGTACACAAGTAGATCCAGGAGGTCTTAACTGAAAGAACCCTGACAGCAACTGACAGAAAACCCTACTGCTGATGCAGGGCTAAGAGATAAAATACCAGATGCTTTATTAGTTGAGTGAGGACAGAAAAGTACATGTAACTGCATGAGTACTGGGTAATGAAAGATTCAAGACAAAAGGGAATGAGCAAATGCAAACAATCCAGTCTGTGTCACAGAATTTGCCATACATAAGAATAATCCTTGATTAAATAAAATCATTACTAATAATAGCATCCCCTAGTACACTACAGGTACTTACGGAGATTCTTACTACTATCACTAACTAATGGTAGATTATTTTAATATTTCATGTCTGCTTAGACCGTTTTGCTTGCCTTGGTATTGTTTTTGAGTCAACTATGGAACGGATTGTTTATATCTTCTTTGTTCTAAAGATGAACAGGGAAAACATGTGACACTAAAGCAATAAAAAAGTTTAAAGGGACAGTAAGAAATAGAGTGTAGTTGTCTCTTTGCTGTCCTGCAGATAAGGTATATTGGACATACTCACCTTGCTAACTTTTCTAGTTGAACAGCTGTTACCTACCTGATCCGTGTACTTTCATGTTTTCTCACAGTTGCTTGAGGTAAATATATACCTAGGAAAAAGTACATCTGGATGCACTTTAATTCTCAGGAGTATGTATCTTTAGTTGGTTGAAGGGTGCCACATGAGTGTGCAATAGGGTACTGAATTTATACATTCTTTTCAGCAAATCATTTGAAACAGATGGATGGGTGGGAAGCCCATCTGCAGCATCATATCACTTTGAGATGAGGTCTGTCTCCACATAAATGTCAGCAGTTTGTAAGGCCTGTGATTCATCAGTCAACTTGGAATTGCTGTGAATGAAGTGTGGGGACTGACAGTATGATGTTTTATATAAGCTGAAGGGAACAGGAAGTTGGTTCTCTGAAAAATTGACTGTGGGTTTCGTGGTACACACAGACTTTGTCTGACTTAATTAGCTTAGACTTTGGAGGGTTATAGCAAGACCCTCACCATTGCCCAGGCAACTTCCAAAGGTAACCCTGTTCCAGTCACCTGTTCAGCAGTTCCTTGAAGGATTGTTACAAATTCTTTTCCTGTGTGGAGAGATTTAGATTTTTTTGGTATACTTCTCCTAGCAAGAGACTGTTTTCTCTTCCTACATGAATTGCCAAGATTAGAATATGTGGACACCCAAAACTGTCACTTCTCAGCAGTGTCTGGCTTCCCAGTGCTGCAACAGTAAGTTGCAATAGCCATTTTTCTCCAAGTATCAATACATGTGTATATTTTAAGCAGCTACTGTATATGACTTGTTTGTGCTGAAGAAATAAAGCAGTAGTTGAGACTTCTGTTTTCTCCAGCACGTGAATTTTTAAGCTGATGTATGGTTCCAACAGATTCTACTCGCCAAGTGATTTAAACCTCAAGATTGCTTAGCTACAGAGTACAAAGACAAAAATATGTATTAATGATGCATTGTGAACCATAGTAGTTGAAAGGCACATAAGTAATCTTTTTTTTTTTTTTGTGACATTCAAACATTTAGGGGAATAAGGAAGAGGAGAGAGGAGGAACAGGAAGGAAATTATTAAATGCATTAATAACATCTCTCTCCTTCTCTGTATTCACTTGTTTACATGCATTGTAATTAATAATTCTGCTTAAACTCCTATTGAGACAGTGGAGACAATTCTTGCATCTTTGAGTTGCTTCTTAGGAGAAAGTTGGGTGTCAAACATGTCACAAAAAACTACTCCGGGACTATGATGGCTAGAAATATTTGTGCCCTGTATGCTTTTGTTTTGTGGGTGTTTTCCTTCTAAAGTTGAAGTTTCCATGCTATGAAATTAAGGATGTTGGGGGGACATAAATATAATTGAATATTTTATACTCTATTAAATATAAATGTGAATTGTTGCATATTTCTTGATACTTTGTAATGAGAAGCATGGTTAGAAAAAAAAGTTTATTATAAGGAGTATTATTTTTTTTACAATAATCTTTTTTTAAAGCTACCTGGAAAATAAAAGCTACATGCTTTAGCAGGCATGCTTTGATTCTGCCTAATTTTGTGGACTGTTTTTCTTGGCAGAGACCTTGGAACAGTCGGTGCTGTTGCTATAGACAGTGAAGGAAATGTAGCTTGTGCAACATCCACTGGAGGACTATCTAATAAAATGATTGGCCGTGTTGGTGACACAGCATGCATAGGTATGGGGCATGGGGTTTTGCCTCTCATTTTTTGTAGGTGCCTCATTTTAAAAAGAGAAAAAATTATTACGTGTTCTCCTTTTCATTAGTGAAGTGAAGCATAAATACTAGTACATCTGAAATGCAAGTCTAACACTCATATGTTTTAAAGCTAAAGCTCCTTAAAACAACATGGAGACTGCAAGTAAGGACTGGGATTAGAGGTGTAATGCTGTCATTATTATCATTATTATCATCATCCAACATGTTTCTGTCTGTAAAATGGGGGTTTCTTTTTTCTGTCCTTTCCTGAATGTTGACTTTTTTAATTCTGTGTTTCCTTTCTGTTCATTCTGATAAAATTCTCCTTTTGTACATCTATGCCTACAACTAAGTCAAAAAATGTAGACTGTTTCATACTAAGATGCTGTTCTATTAATACTTAAGGAAGTAGGTCTAATTGCAATTGGTGTTCATTATATTGTGAGCCAGAATTATAAAATGACTGGCAACTTCTGCTCAGAGAGCCCTGATAAGCCTGTCTCAGAACCTAATAGATGCAGTATGGAATAAAGGAAATAATTTAAGAAATCTCTTACCCAAGTATAAAGAGACACTTGAAAACCTTTCTCCAGACTTGCTCCTCTTGTGGGATAGACTTGCTCTTTGATTTCTTCAGTGTTCTACTGTACAGTTGGGATTTGGACAAAAATGATTTTTAGTAAAACATGTTCCAAAATCAAATAACACTGCTGTTGGCAGTACATCTTTATTATAAAACTAATGCTAACTTCCTGTTGCACCCCAAGTTGCCAGTGTTATGGGACCCTCTGTATTCTGACTATGATTTTCAGCTTAATTTCTGACAGCAACCTCCGGACTGCAAAATGCGCTTTTCATTTGTAGATCATGTTCAGGGCTCTTAGAGTATGAGACCTAGGTCTGTGAAGGACAGGTGAAACGGCACTGTTGAGTGTATTGCTTACAACTTTTGCTCTTACTAGTCATCTCAGAATTGAATACAGAAATGCTAGGTGTCCTCTTAAATATTAGAGTCTTTTGAGGAGGGGACTTTGACAGACTGATTGTGGTAGTATTTTTCCACATGTAAATTGGCATCCGTTGAAAGTGTCTGACCTGATGAAGAAAGTACAGAGAGGAAGG